CCCCCAAAACCCCAAAACCCCAAAACCCCTTATTAATATAATATATTTGAAAACAAGTTCAAAATAAAGGATGTATCAAGGGAGAGGCCCAAGACCAATCACTAGAGCAAGTGTTTATAGCAGGAGTCAGATAAGATCCAAGAAAGACTGGGATGATAGATTCAGCATTGAGAGAATGCCACAGTATGACGCATTAAGGGATAAACACTGCCAAGCCTTTGTCAGTATGATTAAGAAAAAGCTCAAGAAGCCAAAATAAAATTATTGGTAAAGTAGATTTAGCTCCCGGAAGAATAAGGAGAAGAAAGATTCGAAAACAACCAGATGGTGCTGATGATAGAAGTATCAGCCGTAGGATTCTGAAAAGGCCTCCTAAAGGAGAGATAAGGATAAACAGAGCTACTATAACTGATGAAATGGTGAAAAACTTAGAAGAAGAGCTTGCTAAATCTTGGATTGATCATAATATTCCTCAATATCATACTGAAGTTTTCCATAAATATTGCAAGCTTTTACCTATGGATTCTGCTGCAGCAATGATGGCAAAGGAGATAGATGATCTCAAGAAAGGTAAAGCTCCGATACAAAAAGTATCTATCGCAATTATTGCCAGAGAAAATTGTCTTGAAGAAATTGAAGAATTTAGAGATCCTGGGATTGAAGTTTTAGAATCTTATATTGCAAGATGAACTCATAAGCTTCATAGTCTCAGAATGCTATCCCTAAATGCAGTCGAATGAATAGTAATATGGAGAGAGCAAATGCTTTTTGCGTATAACCAGTGCAACCCTATCAATAAAAACAATCCTTCCCCCGGTATTGCATTTTTGTGGGACGATCTAAATTATTTGGTAAAGATGAAATCTGATACAGATTTCCTGAATGAACATATTCTTTCACGGTATTTCAATTTCTCAGAAAAGAACGATCCTTTCCTTGTTATTCCTTCATGAGCTCATACAGGGGTTGGTCTCAAAGGATTAAAGAGAGGGAGAGGAAAGAAGAAACTTAAAAATAAATTAAAGAGCGATAAGTTTGAAGTCCCTCTTGATAATTCTCTCATGCAAAGGATAAAAGCTAGCGAAGTCATTCTTGATATAGAGACAAAAGATACTCCTAGCGAGGCTGCAAGCCCTATTGGCTCCAAAAAGAGAATTTCTCCAACAAAGGATATTGAAATGGAGTCTGATGATGGAGAAAATGCAAACCCTAATTCTAACTCTGAAGAACAAAAAATTGATCATGTTCCTAAAAGGCAAAATTTATTCGAAATTCGCAAGCAGAAATAAAGAAAGTTCGAAGGATATTAAAAATATTAGCCCAAATCAAACAATGAAAACAGAAGAATCTCCTTCAAAATCTCCTCAAAAACAGGAAATTACAAAAACAACATCTCCTCAAAAAGCAGAACCTGAGCCAGAAGAGGAGGATGATGAAGAGATGTTTGATTATGAGCTTCTTCCTCTCGAACTTCATGCAAATGAAGCAATTGATTTCCTCAAAAATTACTCAAATAAAATAGATAGTAAGTTCAACGTGACTTACAACACACCTGAATACATATTCGAGGAGTGTTTCAAAGGAAATAATGCTCAGTGATATAAAATAAACAATAAAACAAGCTCTAACGAAATTGATGGAATCTTAATCTACAGTGGAGATTCACACTTCGATAGGATCAACCTTCATCATATCTCCACTATCAATAAATAAAGGATTTGAGTCTGCCATCCAAGTTGTTATTCAACATATATGGACACACGAAACTGTTAAAGAAATCAGGATAGGCCTCCATCATTATGATGAACAAAAGAATGGCAAAACAGTCAAGACTGTTGATCCTGAGATGAAAGTTGCAATGAAAAATAAACTCAAATGGAAGAATATTCTCAATGTTAAAAATGATCGGATTTTGGTCATGGGAGCTGTTAGAGATAAATCAGATATCACTAGAAACGAGCTTGATGATATGCTTTCGATAAAATCAGCACTTTGATATTCAGTATCTCAAGAAACTATAAGACCACAAAGCGCTACTAACAATAGCTCATTGTTTTTCATTCCAAGTCTCTGATTGTCAAACTTGATACAATCGAATATTAATACCGATGACGAGAATCTTCCTGCTCACCATAAAAGCCTAACTGGGATTCTAAATAAAATTAAGGAAAATAAAATAGGATCCTTCCCAAGTACAGCATGTAATAAAGACCCTGATTTAATGAAGGCGATAGAGCCTGCATCTGCTAATGACATTCAGATCGATCAAAGAATGATCAAAACTTCACAAAAAGAGTATCATTGAAATGTGACCAAAGTTGATGGCAAACTTCTCAGCATTGATTATTGAACCCACTCTATAAAATCCACTGACTATGCTTATCTTCGAATTAAGACTAAGGATATGGTGTGAGTAAAAACTCCTACTATTGATACTGAAATATTCTTCATGCCTGTTGGAAATAAGAGTGAGTATGGCTTACTTGTCTTCAAGAAGCCAACAGGAGTGCACTTCTCAACTTCAATAGAGCTGTATGAATATTGAAAAGATATTACCTCTACAATGAGTGAGACTGAGACTAGTTATTCCCATGGTCTCTATCTTCCTTGATTTAAGAAAGTTATTCAAAACGAAAAACTAGATTTCATGCATGGATTCCAGGTAGACCAAGAAAATAATGCTTCAATTACAGATACTGTATTTAACTCTGAAATAGCAATTCATGGGAGAATACCTAAAAAAGCTGCTCTTAAGTTTGAGCCTAATGATGGCTCTTATATAATCGATGATGATTACATTTTCGTGTTGACACATCCATCTCTAGAAGAGGAGGCTAAAATTCCATTTATCTGCGGAATAGTAGCTCAAGATGACTGGATAGTTGTTTAACTCACAAACCCAATCATGAAATCATAACACCTAATAAGGAGCATATTCAACAAAATAATTTTTAAATGGGGTTTTGGGGTTTTGGGGTTTTGGGGTTTTGGGGTTTTGGGG